AAAAAAAAACCAGAAAACAACAAAATAGCAGTGAAAAACCCTTACCTCAAAATGATGGCATTGAACATAAATGGACTAAGCTCTCCAATCAGAAGCGAGACTCTGTCTAAAAAAAAAAAAAAATCAGAAAACAACCAAATCTCATGAGAACTCACTATCATGAAGACAGCACCAAGCCATGAAGGATCTGTCCGCATGATCCAAACACCTCCCACGAGGCCCAGGTGAAGTGGGGATTACAATTCAGCATGAGATCTAGGTGGGGACAAATACCCGAACCATGTCAGAGGGTTTAGAAATATAAGTAATTGCATGGGAGACTATAAGGATGGACACATTAGGAAAGGTTTTAGTTCAAAAATATTGGAAACCAAAAGCCCTATGAAGCCAACCATGTGTGCAGTTATGTGTATATATATGTATCTAATGAGCACATCAGTAAAGGAAGCGGGGCACACTGTTTCACCTCCAGGGCAGCCCCTTGTGGATCAGAACAACCAGAGGCCGGAGACACTGCCAGGGTGATCTTTTGTGATGGTGACCGTCCTGCTGACCGGTGGACCCAGGGCTGAAGATGGGACTGTGCAAACTGAAAAGTTCTAATCCCTTGTAACAGCTCTTCGATGGGTTCTTTCGTTCAGCAGCTGACGTTAGAGGTTAGAGCACTTGGAAACAATGAGGTGCTGAGACAACAAGTCAATGCCTTCTCAACATGACCTCAGTACATGAAGGGGGCATTTGGAGAACATTTTTTGATAACAGAAAAAAAAAAAAAAAAAAACCAGTCATTGATTTTTAAAATTCTCATAGCAGACAGATTGAGATGTGGGTGACATCATTTTACTGCTATTTAAGGATGTCGGATAAATTATAAAACAGATTCTGGCTCTCAGCCTGTTTATGATCAAGATCAAAGAAGAGGGGCAAAGACTACTGCAGTCTTGTGGGTAATCAGAAGGTGCTGGAGGTTTTCTGAGCAGAACTCATCCAAGCTGTCTCCACTGCCCATCCTTGGTGAGGGTTCTCACATGCTTCACCATGACAAGGCACAAGGGCCACAAATAAACTTAACAACGCCAGACCACATCTTCTGTTGCCTCTTCTATCCTCGCCTGACCCTAACCCTTACCCACAGAACACAGCCTGCCCAGTGGGCACTGAGGGATTTCTTATCAACTTGCTGTTTTTCATTCTTTTGTGACTAGCAAAACATAACAGTGCTGTCCTACATAACTTTCTGGGACAATGGAATTGTTCTGTCTCTGTACTATCCAATATGGTAGCCATTAGGAGCATGTGGTGACTCAGAATTTGAGATGGGGCTAGTGAGATTGAGAAACAAAAGGTTTCCTCTTATTTAGTTTGAAGTAATTGAAATGTAAGTAGCCATATTGGTCAGTACAGTGTTAGAAAATAATAATGATTATTAGTACTTCCATTTCTCATCTGTGGATATTCAGGGTCAGAGGATTAAGTAACTTGCCCAAGGTCAGCAAGCCAGCAAGCGGCCGAGGGGAATTCAAACTCAACCCATCCTCTGCCACCTCAACCTCTTGCAATGACATCAAACTGCAGCCCCTTCAAGTCAAAGAAGCCTTAAAGATAATCTTCAGCTTCTGAAACTTTAAATTCTCAGTAAAGAGCTTTAAAAGGAAGCTGGCTATACGTGGCATGATTTCCTTTAGCAAAAACAACATAGGAAAGTACTTTTTTTTCAGTTATGACTATCTAACTTGAATTTTTTAAACCACGTGTTGATAATAAGTGTATCTGACAGGCCCCTCTAACTGTGCTTTAAAACTTTTGCTCTAATCAAATATTAGCCACATGAATTTATGAGAGGGTAAGGATATGAAAAAGACTTTATTAAACTTCTGTCACATCTTGTTACGCTGTCTAGGCATTATTCTATCCTGTTTACTCTTTGCTGATAAACTAGATTATACTTTTTTTCCTAAATCAACAAGATCCTATGAAACCACACCAAAGATAAAGAACTTAGGATTTCAAAAGAGTGATTCAGAAACAAAGAGTGTCAAAGGCATGAGTTTAAAAGGGAGAGAAAAAGCTGAGCTTATGGAAAATAGTATGCAGTCATATTGTAAATTTTTTTCTTAAATTATATGTAAAATAATTCACATTATTACGATACCAAAAACCCACTCTAAAATCTGCAAGCTTCAATTCAGGATACCTGTGTGTCCTGAATTCATAACCAAACCAGTGTTGTCTCCACAAGTCGTTCCTTTATTCATGGGGAACCACTGTGCAGCCCAAGAAAGGAAAAGGGTTGTAAATTCATTGAAATTGGGGAAGAGAACATTACAGTTCTTTATAGACAAAACCAATATCGTTTGGTTCTTGTGTAGGTTTTCATATTGCCAAAAGGGTCTAGGATATTCCTTAATATTACCCTACTCAGGTAATATCAAAGAGACAATGGGGTGATGAGCTAAAACACAGATAAAGAAATGAGGTAAAAACCAAAAACTCTGAGGATCAAAGCTTGACAAGAAGACAATGTAGGCCCAGTGTGATGCTCTTGTTACATAAAACCCATCTGTAGATGAAAGATACTCTTCGGTGAAGAGAGCTAAATGAGATGCTGGAACTAGTCTCATCAAAGCCCATATCAACTCATAGTCTTGAAAACCAACACTCTCTCCTGTGGTCACAGATTGAGCTCCACAACCAAGCATGGCATAAGCTACATGAACAGGCATGGGTGGTAGATTCACGATGCCGCACCTTCCTGGACATGCCTCCCTCACCTCCCTCAAGAGGCGGGGTCTATGTTTTCTCCCCTGGAATCAATAAGCCCTGAAATGACTCTGGCCAATAGAATTGCACCTGTGATGCTGTACCAGTCCCTAGGTTTTGGCCTTAAGAAACTGGCAGTGGCAGAGAAGAATTCAAATTCTTGAAATTCAAATTCTTGATTTCCTGTGTTTTCAAATGTTCTCCCTGGGATTCATAAGCTGCCATTTAAGAAGTCCAGTTACTTTCAGACCACCATGCAAGAGAGACTATGTGCAGGCACATGGTCAACTGTCCCAGCCGAGCTGGGCCTTTAGCCATCCCTGCAAAGGGACCGGAGGGATGTGGGAGTGAAGTCATCCCATAAAGAGCGGAATGCACCAGACGACCTCCATGGATGCCATATGGAACAGAAAGAACTGCCCAGTCAGGCCTGTCCTGACCTATAAAATCATGAGAAAAATAAAACAGTTCTTTCTTTTACACCTTGAAATTTTGGAGTAGTCTGTTACACAAGTGTTTCTTTTTTCCTTAGTTAACCTACCTTTCCTCCAAAACCACCTGTTAATGGCTCTTACTGTACAGGTGGAACATGCCTAATCTGAATAACCAAAAGCTGAAATGCTCCAAAATTCAAAACTTTTTGTGTGTCCACATGGCACTCAAAGCAAAGGCTCATTGAAGCATTTTGGATTTTTGGATTAGACATTCTCAACCAGTTAAGTATCTGTGAATATTCTGAAATCTGAAAAAAATCCAAAATCAGAAACACTTCTGGTTCCAGGCATTTCAGAGAAGGTATTCTCAACCCGTATAACATGACTGTATATTTGTTAAATATTAGATCTCATCCTGTCTGCCCCCCACTCATTCCAATTTTTAATATGACACCTACCAATGAAACCAGAAGAAGGTGGGTTTGGCTGAATCTTCTCTTTAGTGTTCTCCTGGATAATATCCCAGAGCTGCCATATAAATTTAGGATGAAGAATGTAAAATGGCTGATTTGGGTATCTCTGACGATGCTGAATATATGGAGTGAACAGGTTGTAATCCGGTTTTTTGTACCACTAAGGAAAAAAAAAATCAATGCAGTCAAGTAGAAAGAACTAAACCGTCAAAGGAGACAGGGCATGGCTGGTTGATTCGAGGCAGAGGGGCCAGGCTGGGGCTAGAGGATGGGGAAGGATCACGACTCATTCCATCTACAGATACTTTCTCATTGGGACGAGGGGATGAAAACAAAGAGAGACCAGGGTGCTATCCCTAGCAGAGATAATGCTTTGTGCTTTAGTCAAATGAGAAAAATGGACTAGGTCACGGATCAGCATCCCTCTTCTGCAAAGGGCCAGATAATCAACACCTTGGGCTTTGCAGGCCATAGAGTCGGTCGTCTCTACTCAACTGTACCATCATAGCACAGAAGCAGCCATGGACAATAAATACTGAATGGACGTGCTGTGTTCTAATAAAACACTATTTATGAAGGCAGGTGGTGGCTCGAATTTGGCCCATGGGTATAGTTTGTTGGCCCCTGGGGACTGGATCAGTGTATTTCAAAAATAAGTTTTCCAAATTTCATCTATAGTGACAGAAATTGTATTGCTGCTGCCTGGGCCTGGGTTGGGGCTGGGAAGATTGACTAGGATGGACTGACAAAGGAACTCTCTGGGGTGAAGGAAATATTCCAGTTTTTCATTATGATGGTAGATACATGAGTATATAGATTTGTTATCATTCTTCAAAATGTACACTTATATTTGTTTACACAATGTATGCTATTGTATGAAAAATCAGTAAGGATGTTTTTCAAAAAGGAAGTTTTCAGAAGCGTCTCAGCTGTAGCCATGACATGGATTTGGAGAGGGTGGGTGGGAAGAAGCTTAGCTCATAGAACTCCCTTTAAACAGACAGCAGCGGTGTATAGTGGGTATACATTAAGATCACAGGTAATATTTCACTAATGAAATGGCACTGTCGCTTTAAAAGCTTTGAGAATGACTGGACCAGAGTATCTTTCATAATCGAAGCCCCAAGCCATGTGGCCCTGGCAAGGGAGCAAGAGGAATGTGGAGTCAGAGCGAGAGTCGCTCCTTTACCCTCCCTCCTCTTGGGGCCTCACATGGCAGCAAAGGCCTTACAGAAAGCGAACTTGCCACTGGGATTTTAGCACTGCCAGTGGCCAGCTCTGTGCCCTGGGTTGGGCTGCTTCCAACAGAGGAAGAAATAAGGTCCAACAGCTAGAAACTCTCAGTCTGTTCACAAATAGCAAGAAAGCTGCAAGAGTTTAAAACCAGGGAGCCTCAGGCTGGAAAGGAAGTTGAAAAGTTCAAACACCCATCTGATGCTTGATTCTCAGTGGAGGCTACATATGAGAATCAAAGAGCCCTCTCAAAAAATATACATCGAGGCTATATATATCCTACATTTCTGGAGATGGGGCTCTGACAGATTTTGAAAAATACTCTCCAGGTGATTTTGACTTGCACGCCAGGTCAGGAATTGTAAGTAATCATACGAGGTAAATGTCCAGCATCAGTCTCAAGGTCAACAGTGACCAACATGCTCCTTCTCCAGGAGCTGCTTCTATCTTGGGAGGTTACCTCTCGAAGAAGCAAAGATCTTTCCCTGACACTCATCTTAAGAAGGTTGCATCCTCTCTGGTCTTCACTAAACAAGTCAAAGACACTCGTTTACAGAAATGACAGCATCTCTTACTAGGCTAAATACTATCCATCTTTTCCAGCCCTCATTGAAAAAGAAGCATGCTGGCTTTTCATGAAAGGTTTCACCAAAAGTAGCTGGTTGCTTGTTTAGATAGGCAATGATTTACCAGAATATCCCAAATATAACCTGTTTGTGTTTTTATGGCTAGTAATAAACTTGTTTCAGCCCTATTGCATAAAATTAAGCAGATTCAGAAGCAGAAGCCAAAGAGGAACACACTCAAGAAAAGCCTGGAACAGGCCCCATTTAAATAAAAATGAGCTGTGGATTCACAAAGTTGAGATTCTCGTGCCAATCACTTTCAATTTATTTCAAAAGGTCTTCCAACTACTTGAAAGGTAATGTAGCCCCAACACAGTGAAACAATTCTGACTGTAATCAGTCAACCCTTTAGTGTAACTAGAAATTTCTGAATATTTAGATATTCTACATTTCCCCCACCCGGCTGCCCTGCCCACCAATTCTGCACAAAAGCACTTTGGCATTAGATGACTAATGTTCACAAGTGTGCTACTGTAACTGGGTATCAATGCGGTATTCACAAACATGCATGAAATTGATATTGATGGGTACTTTCGTTGTCTGTCAAAGCTTAATCCTCGCCTAGATCTTATGATCAATTAGTCAAAGCCATTGTCTGACTGTTGGGGTGGGCGAATCCAGGGAAACACTTACCAGGTTAAGATTTGCGGAATATGGCGCAGGATCCCAGGCCACCAAAATGACGTCTTTATACAGTGAACTGTCAATGAAGTGATGGCTGGGGTTGGTCAGGATCTGCAAACACACAGAAAAACCATTTCGAAGCCAGGGTTTGGTTTTTAAAAATTGCATTTTAAAAAGAGATGAAAATTAAAAAGAACTAGGACAAGAAAAAGGTGGCTCAGACTTTGTAGTTTCTTCTGGGGGAGGGAGAGACGCAGGCATTGCATGCAGAAGCACTTAAAGAATGTTTAAGGAAATTATTATTTTATTTTTTTTTAAAAAAACACAAGTTCTGACTTTTCACCAGCAATGTACTCATGTCTGGTGGTACTGAATCCAGATCCTGAAGGATGCAATTCCCCAGCTAATTCAAGTCCCACAACCTCTTCTACAATTGCCTCCACGTGTAATTTGGAGAGAGCGTTGCAGGTGTGGATGAAGTGAGTCCCGAAGGAGCCTCCAGCGTGCCAGCTTCCCTCTGTGGCCCTACCTAGTTCTAAATGAATTCTTCAATCTCAGCTGCCAATCATCTTTTTAAAATTATTGTTTCAGGAAAAAACAACGTATTATTTTCCCTCGGTTTTAAGACACATTTTTTTTTAACCATTATTACGATATACTTTTTTCCTTCACGTTAAAGTTTCTAAGTTAGAATGTATGTTACAGATGATATGTATTCTAATTTGGTGGCATTTATCTCCTCCTTTGCAAAAAGTTGTTATTAAATGAATGGCAGATTTTACAGTCAAATGACATCTCTGAATTAAGGAAATATGGTAATTGTTTCTTACCTTGCGGCAGGCTGCCTGGTGCAGTGAACTGTGCAGAAAGCTAATCTTTTGTTCTGTAAGCAACTCACCATAAATCACTCATCACCTCATTTTTTCTACATATTTTGAAACTCCAGAAATTGTTGTGGTTTGTTCTGAGGATAATTTTGCTATACATTTGCAAGGTATTCTTATTAAGAACGTGAATAAACGAGGTATTTTCATTTCCAATTAAATAATTCCTTTTCATTTTTTAAAATTTCCAAATGGCAGACTAAAGTTGCAAAGATCTCCTACGAACTCTCAGATTTTATACTTTGCTTTTCTCCCCTTTATCCTCTGCTATCTTTATTGCCATTTCTTCTAAGTTTAACTTTGGTCAGTTCACAAAATGCAACATGCTAAGTCTATGATTACAAATATGTATGTAAATTTCTATTTCTACTGATTTTTCCTTTTAATCTTATTCATTTCCTCCTATTCATGTCATGTCTAAATTACCATTTCTCTGCAGTTTTCCTCATTAATTTGCATTAATTATAAGATTGATAGAAATAAACAAGTACCATGGTCATAATTAACCAGGTAACTTCTCTTCACTCATCCAGTTAAACTCATTTCTCTTCACTCATCCAGTTAAACCTAAGAAACACACATCCATGAAAACACTTCATCTGTCTTACCTGCGAATTAATGATGCGTACGGTGGTTTTATTCCCAACATCTTTCTCATAACCACGTGTAGGAGCAGAGTTAAATCTCAAAACTGCATCATGAGAATCTAAGGGCACATAAGTGACAAGCTTACTTTTGTTCTCTGTAGAATCACATAATCTAGGAAAAAATGTTAAAGCAAACCTTTCAATACCTGAAGCTAATGATACACCATCAATAAAGTTAAGATGTCCCCACATGATTTGCAGAGAATTTACTCTTCATTGAGAATGAGATCTTGGCTAGAGGAAACATCAATATGGATATATATATATATTTTATATATATAATATATATGTATATATAATCTGTTCAATTATGGGCGATACTGTATCATCTAAGTGATATTTAGATACCTGCTACCTTTACGGCATTCTTTACAAGTGTCATGCTTGATGCAGCCATTCTCCCAAAGCTTCCAATGCATCTTGAGGGAGACTCTACTGGAGCAGATAAAGATACCAGAAGGCAAGAGCTGCTTTCTGGTGCTGATGTATGCTTAAAAAGAAAGCCAACCCTTCAGCAGAGATTCTGCATTTAATGTCGAAGAAAGAAAGCAAGCCAGTACTGACTTCCATGCAACCTGACGTACTGCTGCCGATGGCAAGAATACCTGTGTGAAAGCAACCTTAGAGCATTCTGCGTTAGCAGCAGACCAGACCGCTGTAGCCCAGACGATGGGCAAGATGGAGAGACCACCAATGCCACCAGCTGCCAGGGCTCTTATGTTCTATAACCACACACTGTGCTTCACCAAAGTTGAACTATGAATGCAACATAAATCTACATCTCACTTCATTCAACCTGACAGCCCGACTTGCCCAAGTTCTCTGAATGCTGGGCTGGGAGGACCTGGATGAAAACAAGTTACCCCTATCCTGGAGGCTGACAAGCTGGTGAAGAGTGGGAGGCACAGGAAAGTGGGTTCACCTGATTTAGCACTGGGAAGAGGGGATATGTTCCCTTTGCATAAGGCAGTCTATAAACATACATGTGTCTTGAAATTCCTAGAAACCAGCCTGAAGAGTCAATGAGCAAGAAAGCAATTTTCTAAGGGCCATCTTTAGCTGCAAATATCTCATGCAGATTCCAAGCTCCGCCTGGAGCAAGGACAGTGCCTGTCTGTGAGGGAGAGGTGAAAAGAGGTATTTCTGTCATGCCCAAGGGGAGCTGCATGTACAGTCCGAGTCACGCACAAGTGCCTAAGGCAGCCGCCTTCTTCCCCAGTTCCTGCTACCTGCTCCTTTGGAGTCTTCTTCTTGCTCCCCAAATAGCAGAAACTTACCATGCATGCCCCCACTAAAACAATGTGAAAAAAGGTGTCTTCACTGTCAAGCCCTGAACTAAAAGAATTCAAAGTCCAGCTTTAGCGCCAAAATTAATCCACTTTTGGAAGGCGTGAATGCGTAGGGTGTAGGTGACTATGTCATCAAAACCCTGCAACGTTCTTTTAGGGGAAATTTTGCAGGAGTTGGCAAACTATGACCTTCTGGCCAAATCTGGCCTGCCACTTGTTTTAGTAAATCAAGTTCCACCATAACGTAGACACATCCACTGTACACGCTGTCTATAACTGCAGAGTTGAACTGTTGAGACAGAGACAGAAACATGGTTCACAAAACCTAAAATATTTACTACCAGGCTCTGTAAAAAAGTCTGCCAGTCTCTAGATTCAAGGGGATCTACTCTGGGTATAAATGATGCCAACATACGTAAATGCCTCCAAGTTAAAACCTGTTCTTTACTTCACAATTTAAGGATTTGTTCATACTTTATTGAGATAATGGATTTATTATTTATTTTTATTGAATAACGTTTTGTCAACAAATTCAAATAATATTTGAGGTGGAAAAACTAGATTACCCAAAACAGTAGACTCTTGAAATTTATTGATAATCCAAACACTTTTTAGGGATATGGAATATATCTACTGATATTTACCATACTAGAAAGTAAAACAGGGAATTTTTAAATGTCTATTAATTTATTTTAAAATAGAGTTTTTTTCAATTTAAAAAAAACCCTGTATTTTCAAAAACCAAAAGAATACTGAGAAGACTGGCACCATTTTCAATGTTTGCAAGTCTCTTTTAGGTCTGGTTTTTTAGAAAGTTGGTTTCTCATATCTGCTTTCGAATTCAACTTGTTGCAATATGTTGTTTTATTTGAAGTATATGAAGGCTCAGACACATTGTTGAATTGAGAAAGCTATTTAAAGAATCCTTTCAAAGAACTGTGAATATTCTTCTTTGATACCTAACAAAACTCTACGAGGGCTAGTTTCTTAGGGTTGGTTATAATTTGGAATCTGAAACCTGTCAATGAACTTTTCGTGCTCTGTTACATTAAAACTTGTGGTCTGTTTTTCTCTTAAAATGGACCTTCCACTCATGCGTAATTGTACAATATTGTACAATGATCACCTGAAAACTATCAGCTAGGCATAGTTATATATAAGTTATATATATATATATGTTAGACAGATCTTCCAAATGGTGATGCATTTTGTAATAAAGAGTTGAAACACTGGCTGGGCGTGGTGGCTCATGCCTGTAATCCCAGCACTTTGGGAGACCCAGACGGGCGGATCATCTGAGGTCAGGAGTTGGAGATCAGCCTGACCACCAGGGAGAAACCCTGTCTCTACTAAAAATGCAAAAAAAAAAAAAAAAAAAAAGACAGAAAGAAAATTAGCTGAGCATGGTGGTGCATGCCTGTAATCCCAGTTACTCGGGAGGCTGAGGTAGGAGAATTGCTTGAACCCAGGGGGCAGACGTTGCGGTGAGCCGAGATCGTACCATTGCACTCCAGCCTGAGCAACAAGAGCAAAACTCCGTCTCAAAAAAAAAAGAATTGAAACACCACATTGGGTAGTATCACCATGGAGTTCACCAGTTTTTAAAGTCTGGATAACTTCCAAGTTCATGGTTCAAAGCTTGAATTTTATCATTGGCAAGAAATACTATCAGTTATTTTCCTAAAAGTGACACGTTCCCTTGATTCCTTTTTGAGAACATATCTGTCAAATATCCAAGTCTGAGTAATTAACATTTCTTTTCAAGTTGAAATTGCATTTCATGAAAAAAGTGGCTAGTTCGGCTCACAATGCAATTACACAGGGGCTTTCCCTTTGTGAACTGGCACACATAAGCGTTTTTCTCCTATTTCCCCATGAGTCCCACTGAATCTGAAAAACCATGTATTCAAAGGTTGAGCTTTGGGTTCTGCTGCCCTGACTTGTGCTAAGAAGCCCCAGTCCCACGCATCATTGTGTTCGTACCACCAGTGCAAATGTCAACAACTGGAAGGAAAAGAACTCTGAGTATACTTACCACAGTAGTTTTTTCTCATGGACCCTCGAAAGGGCCTTGGAAAGTCTAAGGGTAAGCTTAGATCTCACTGTGCCAGCTGCCAAGCCAGGGCAACCCTCTGGCTGCAGACAGTGAGAGGACACTCCAGACAGCGAGGTGACTGCAGGTGCTGGGAGGGAGTCACCCCGAGCCTGAGGGGAAGTGTGATGCCAGCAGTCCTCAACCCCAGTTCTCTCCAAACCATGCTGACAACCCCTCAGACACAGCCTAGCCAAGGGCCCCACGCGGTGGGTGCATTTCTATTAGTTGACTAATAAATGTGAATTAATTGCATCACCCTTGAAAACATTCCAGCATTTAAATGCCCGTTGTCTTATTGTGGAGCTGTGTTCTAAGCCATCCAAGGACTTCACGAGGCACAGGGCACAGAAAGATAAAGCAGTGTAATTCCTTTGGAGGTGGTATTAGTCTGCAGAGTTAAGAGGCCACCTGCGTGCAGAGGACAGCGAGGCAGGGTCACGTAGGCTTGTGGCTAGGCCCAGTGCAAGCCCTCTATGAACAGCCTCTATGAGCAGCGTGGGGTGGGGATGGAAGGGGAGGGTGCACTGAGACTGTCGTCTGTCACACAGACATGTTTTATAAACGTACACCTGGCTGTGCATGCCCTGATAATGCACTGTGAGAACAGAAGCTGTCCATTCCTATTTAGACAAAAAGGAATAGGTCAGACAGCAAACGCAACGGGAAGAAAGTCAAGTTTCATTTCTGGAGAAGGCATTCCCAGGCCAGAACCATGCCGTGTTGACCTTGAGAATGGAGCCAGACAAGTGCATCCATGGAAGGAAAATTAAAGTCCTTCAAGGAGCTGCTGGGCCAGCAAGCCCTCCAGCACCCAGTCACTGCCCTGCCCTGGGGCCCATCCCCCACATCCCCCTCCTCTCCTACGCTGATGAGAAAATTCACACAGCGGGAGAGCAAGCCTCCAGTCACTAGAGAATGGCCTGCCTGGGATTGGACGAAGCGATGTTTTCCCAGCACCGCGGAGGCCCTGTTTTTCCCCAGGACCTGTAACCCTCACCTCCTGAATTACTTCCCTCGCAGCCTCAAGCCCAGGCTCTGGCGTGATCTCTATAGCAACTATCTGCGATGGCTGTGCATTGCCGGCACAGGGGTGAGAGCTAGTGTTTCTGGAGACCCACACTGAGGTTTGAACCCAGGTTCTGCACGTGTGACTGGAGGTATTTCCTTATCTATAAAATGGGAACAAACTTATCTATCAGTCAGGGTTGTAAGGTTTACAACAGTTAGCACAAAAAGAGCATTTTGGGCCGGGCACGGTGGCTCATGCTTGTCATCCTAGCACTTTGGGAGGCTGAGGCAGGAAGATCACTTGAGGTCAGGAGTTCAAGATCAGCCTGGTCAACATGGTGAAACCCCATCTCTACTAAAAATACAAAAATTAGCTGGATAGGGTGGTGGGCACCTGTCATTCCAGCTACTTGGGAGACTGAGGCAGGAGAATTGCTTGAACCTGGGAAGTGGAGGTTGTAGTGAGCCAAGATTGTGCCACTACACTCCAGCCTGGGCAACAGTGGGAGACCCCCTCTCGGAAAAAAAAAAAAAGAAAAGGATTCTGAACAGGGCCTTGCCTGTACTATAAGTATCTATGATTACAATTATTAAGTAAAGTCTAATTTTCAGAGTGGCTTGCAAGGACATCTAGGAAGATGATCTGCCTTCCAAGTCAGCTCCTCTCTTCTGTCCCTATGAGCCCGTGTACTCCCTGTAGCTCTCACCACCTGTATACCACGCTGTTTCTCACTTCCATATGACGCTGGGCCTTCAGCTTGGTCTCCTCTCCCTGGAGCAGTCTTTACCAACCTCTTCCCTCTGCCCAGCCACCAGCCCTCAGGGGAGTTAGGAATTCATCATCATTTCTGCCTTATCAGCCTACATATCTCCCTGTCCTTCTCCAATCCACAACACGGGAATTGTCTGTTTACCACTGAAGTGTGCCACTATGGATGGTCGGGCCCGTGACCTCTTCAGTTTTGTGTCTAGCACAGGATCTGGTGGAGAGTTGGTGACCAATAAATAACGCTCATCGGAAGAGTATATGGACTGCTTTCTTCTTTCTTGCTTTTTTTAAAAGTAACAGGACACGTCAAATCTCAAGCCCTCTCCACCAGTCTATGCATCCCATCCCCAGTCTCTCCCTCCACGTCCCACTTCCCATGCACTTGCCAGAATCTGAGTTTCAAGTACACAGATCTTGGTTTCCCACATGAAGGCTATCACTGGTGGTTTAGAGCAGAACTTTCTCCTCCGTAACGTATTTCCACATGAATGCCAGTAGCACTGCACAGAAGCAAATTATTATTGCTTATATGCAGGGGTGAAAACAGATCATCTTATGACTCTAGGAGAGAATGATCCAGGTTTCCAAAACAATTAGTTGGTTTTTCAATAACATATTCATAGCGAAAGTGTTTACAAATGCTATACTTTCCTAACCAAAACCAATTCCTTTGTGTGACTCAGTTCCAACAGAAGGGTAGGCGGATGGGGGCCGCACTGCCAGTGGAACAAACACCAGGGGGAGCTAAAGGCTAGCCAGTAAGCAAACCTGAGACTGACTGGGTCTTCCCTGGACATAAGCGTGTACAGGTGGCCTCCTGGCAGAGCGGAGGTAGGGCTTATAAGCACTGACCATCTGAGATACTTTCTAGCTCTGTCTTCAGTTTTTCATAAGATTGTGATCTTTGGTAAGTCTTTTGATCTTCACTTAGCCAATTCACAAGTAGATACTTAGGGACCAACATGAATTTAGCTACAGCTGCCCCCAATACTCTAAGCTGCCTAAAGGAATCTGCTCCCAGAGTTTTTGTATTCTGCAAGCCATTCATAACTACGTGGGTTTGCTTGCATATATTCAGGTGAACAGGGAGGAGCGAGGTTTACATGCACCTGGCATGTAAACTGCTGATGCTGAGATACCAACTTATACAAATGAAACTTTTTGTTTATACAAATTGAGCCACGCTATGGTTACATGTTCTTAAAATAGTAGATACACAATCTGATCCAAAAGACCCTAGACAAAACAATAAAGATAATTTTAAAGAAATTTCCAGGCATGTTCTTCAGTTGTGATTCTACCGTTCTTAAAGGCATGCAAAATAAATTAGATTTGGATACTAGAAATTAACAAAGATACAACTGGCATTTCAAGTTTCCCAGAAACATGGACTTCTCAGTGTCTTTCATGCCCTCTTCCAAATTCTAGAGTTTACAAGATTCTGGTCAGGGATATTTACACAGAAATAAAGGACAAGGGACTGCTCACTGGCATGCAAGAGCAATCCAGATCTTCACCTCTGATGCAGAGGTGTTTAAAACAAAACCAAACCGGAAGCAAGTTACTGCCTGCTTCAAGCATAATACTTAAATTCCTTCTCTACATTATTAATATTGGCCCTCAGAAATGAGAAAGAACTGTGGTGTTATTTCACCCCGGGGACCTCTTAAACCACTGCTTCTTCTTAATAAATTGCAGGCTGCTCTGCTCTGGCTTTGGCTACAAGCTTATGTGACACATGGACTGTGTTATTATGAGCCTGCTGTAATGTCAGCACAGGGACACAGGGACCCCAGACCTTGATTCCAGACTCACTATCTTTTTTTTTTTTAACTTTAAAAATATTTCTCATTTAGCCTCATGCCCAAGGACTTCTGCTGAGCTGAGGTCTCGGTTTCTGAGCCTGCCTACAGTGGCTTCACCCTATTCTAAGACAACTCTGGAACATGGACCACTCTTCAAGGACACAGAACAACTAATGGATCCACTTAAAATGAAGACAACAAATTTTACTTATTTGCAAAGAGGGAGCAACATTCCCTGAATGTCGCTTCCAGACCAGTTATGACCTAACACTGCCTACTGTGAGAGTGTACAGGACGCGATTGTCTTACATCTGGACCTGAGGCTGATGCTGTATTTGATTCACATTTGTTTTCCTGCTCCTAGTACAGAGTCAAGCACATATTAGGGGCTCAACACATATTTGTCAAATGAATGAGCCTAAAGGGCCAAGCTGCTTGCTGACTGGTGCAGCAATGGAATTAGCCTGGGAACGGGGGCAGTTCTGGGAGCAAAGGGATCTGAAACTGCTGAGGGAGAAAGCCCAGCTATGGGAACACAAGAGCCTGGGTATCTCTGGCAAGACAGGTTGAGAGGCTGGGGCAGGTAGGGAAGTGAATGTGATCCAGCCAGGAAGGGGAATTCTGAGGAGGGCCAATGCTGGCCCATCTGGTGCAGAACCTACACCACTCTGCAGGAGGCAAATGTATTTGAACCCTGCCATGCCCCCATCAATCAAAAAAGATTAGAACTGGCACTTCAAAACTAGGAAGACATAGCGATGGCTCATGTTGTGTGCCATCTTGGCTAGGCCACAGTGCCCAGCTGGTTGGTCAAACACTAGTCTAGATGTTGCTGGGAAGGTGTTTTTAAGATGTGATTAACAGTGAAATCACTAGACTTTGAGAAAAGCAGGCAACTCTCACAATGCAGGTGTGCTTCCTCAAGCCAGGTGGATGCCTGAAGAACAAAGACTGAAGTTTCCTTAACAAGAAATTCTGCCTCAAGACAGCAACACAGAAGCTCCGCCTGAGTTTCCCATCTGCTGGCCTGCACTACCTATTTCAGACTCGCCAGCCTTCACGATCATGAGAGTCAAGTCCTTAAAATAAATCTTTCTCTGTATAGACACATATCCTCCTGGTGTGAGTCTCTGGAGAACCCTGACTGATACAGGAGTCGGGAAACAGATGTGCTCCAGCGCTCTTGACAGGGATGTGAAGACAGAGCCTGGCAGGGAGGGAGGACGCCCAGGTGTTGCATGTTATTTACCATCTTGGAGAAGGTCCCCGGTAGGTGCACTGGCAGAGCCCCAAAGGTTGGATATGCGCCAACAGTTGGGAGGCCAGAACTTATGCTCCCATGGGAAAGATGTTCCCAACAGCAGCTGGGCTCTTCTCAGAGCCCACAGTAACCAACATGATCTTCATGCACCCTGCTCTTTGGAGGTGATGCCCTGATTGAGCAGCTCTTGCTTTCCTGCCTCCTCCTCCTCCTCTTGTTCCCTTCCCATATTCCCACTGCAAGATGGGTTCACCCGGCTTTCGGGGGCCAGCCTGGGAGCCTATCCATGCAGACTGTGGTTTCTATGGGATACGAAGTCTGAACAGTGAGAAGGACACTGGAAGCAAGGGGCGGCGCTTTTCTTCCACTGCCCACTGGCATCAGCTATGGGGAGGACCCTTCTTGCTCCCCAGCATTCCCCAAATCCTTGCTCTAAGAGTCCCCCGAAGAGTACTTCTGCTGTGACCCCAGAGAGACTCATTTTGCGCCAGCAAGGGGAAATCACCTGAAGAATCTCCAGCTAACATAAGAAACACCTGGTGCGGAGACCCCAGCCTGCCCCGCCAGTGAGATCCAGAGGCGCGCACGGAAAGAACCAGCTCCCAGGGACACACTGACTCAAGACAACGCGACCTGGTCCCCGCACTGAGACCTACCTATTTCCTCGCCCAAGGAGGAGTTGAGGATTGAGCCTGCAGACATGACGACAGCGCAGCTGCGCAAGCCGCGCGGGTGCAGCTGGCTCAGGGGCACGGCGGGCACCAGGCGCCGCCAGCCCAGCGCAGAGAAGGGCGCCTCGGTGCCGTCCAGCGTCCGCACGGGCGCGCGGCTCCGCAGCTGGCACAGTAGCTGTGCCCTGCTCAGCCCGGTCTCCCGCTTCCCGCGGAAGCGCACCCCGTGCTTGTTGGCGGTCAGGTAATCCTTCATCGCCTTCTGCAGGCGCGGGTTCAGCATTTTGGAGGAGACGTTCCCCTTCCAGAGCCGGTACAGGAAGGCCCTGGACATGGAGGAGTACAGCCTGTCGCCGTCGTCGCCCTCGTCCAACACTTGGCTCCTTCTCTGCCTCCGGTGCCTCTTCTTCACCCGCCTCCTCTGGACCTGTGCAGCCGGAAAAGCCCCATCCCGCGGGCCTGGCTCCCTGGGGGAAGGGAATCCCAACGTCCCCTGAGTGTGGCTGTGCCACCCTGGCTGCCCAGCAGCAAAAAAGTAGTCGTCATCCTCCGGGTAGAAAGCACTTTGAGATTTTCTTCCCACCTGGGGTGAAAAAAACTCTTCATGTTCAAACCCATGTTGGGACTGGGCCCATTTCTGCGGGTCTCCAGGCCCTGCGTGAAAGGAACTGGCTGGGTGGGCGCGGGAAAGCCCCTGGCGTGCGTCCAGACCCCCAGGCGGGGAGGGCTCGTGCGCGGCGCCCATGATGGCCCGCTGCTTCCCCTGCACCGGCAGGAGCCTCCTGGTCTCCAGGAAGGAAAGGGAGCTGGGCACAGGCTCAGCGGGGTTGCTGTCAGTGAAGTAGATGAAAATCAGCAAAAAGAGGAGCCCCCAAGCGAATATTCCGAAAAGCATTCGTTGTCTCCATTGCTTCAAGTGTGGTTTCATGGCAGGTCTCTGCGGTCAGCACCTTGTGTCTTAAAGCAGATGGGTGGCAGAATGAACCTGAAAAACAGCCAGATGGCACAGTTAGCCAACATAGGGCATCTGCTCAGATGCTGCTGGGGACATTCTACCCTGAGCAGTGTTTCTGTAGGTGGTGGAGTGGGGTTGTAGAAGGGGCACTAGAAACCAGAATCATCCAGGAGTTTTAGCTAAATCCAGGTGTCATATCTGTCCCTGCCCCAACCCCACCTCCCACCAACCTCTGCAAAACAAGGGATCTCACCATTTCAGGTGAGTCTTTGGAGAGAGGCGATGGATGAGTGTATATTTGCAAAATCTTCCCCATGGGACTCAGGGACAAGTCCGCCTTCCCACTTTGATAAGACAGTAGGGCCCCTGCCCACAAGTTCCCCCTACTTTTGAGATTATAAAATTCCAATTTGATAAAGCAAACCCAGAGAGGTAAGCATAGTTTGCCCTCTCTTGTCTGCTTATCAGACCACCAAAAGCTCACAGCTCATAGATATTACAGTAGCTGCTGTGCACTTCTAAGGAGTGACAACCGTATCTGATTCTTCCTGTTCTCCCCAGTCTGGAAGGCTGCCTAGAACATACCAGAAGTCCGCCAATGGCACTGAATAAAACAATGCTTCACTGACTGTGTCTGCGGGTGAATGTGATTTCAGGGTGCCTGAACAATGTCCTCAAGACTACCCTCCTACTTCACCCTTACCATGAACTTTTGGTGAGATAAGAGGGAAGTACATTAAAACTTTAAATAGGAGGAGAGATGAGGAGAGAGCTTGCTGATTCTAGATGAGACTCAGAGAAAGGGTAACAAAAAGGGCAGAGATGAAAAGTAAGATACAATGAAAGACAGAATGAACCTCTCCTCTGTACAGCATTGCAACTAATATGTATTGCTACGTGGGTAGCACAGCACTTGGTACCAAAGGAAACAATAAAACATTAATAAGAAATGCTCCTAACCTCAGGAACTTAAGCAAAGTCCTGGAAAGGGAAAATAACCTAAGGTATGTTTGTGGCATAATAAAATAATAATTAAGCTTGCTGGAACTTCAAGCTGAGTACAAAGCCCAGCACAGGCAGATATGCAATAAATATTGGCTGGGTAAATGATGTGAGCTTGTGTTTGTGTGTGTGTTTTGCAGAGGGCCTTGTGTGTCTGTGGCGATGCATGGGTGTTTTGGTGGGGATGCTGAAAGAAGAAGCAAGACCATTTGGGGAAAACATAATTGGAAAGCTATCCTATTCCAGCTGTGGAGGGTCTGTAGTCCCTACCTGGATGTGTGGGACACATGCCGTATAAGACATGGGGAGAGAGTGAAGTTCTGAGAGCAAGGGAGTGATGCACTGGTTCCACGGGCTTTCAGGAGATTCCTTGGTGGCAGGTAAGGCAGAGAAGAATACAGGGAGGCAACACAGACTACAAGGAGGTCACTAGTAGAAATCAGATACTCAGAAAGTAGGGTGATTCTGAGGGGAGGGTCTGCCAGGCGAAATCTGTGACTCCCATGCTCCTTCCTGAGTACAGGCTGACCAATGCCAACACACAAAGGCATGTCGGGCATGGCTGTAACACAGTGGTGGTGTTTTCACTCAAAAAGAAGGAACTGAAAGCAAAATGAATATTCCTACCTCAATGTGGTCACCTTGGGAAATCATACAATGTCGCTGGTGGGCAAGGACATGCTAAAGTAAGAAAACTACATTCCTTTTGTAGCTTTATGGCAGGTGAAAGGTGGACACAGATTCTTTGACCCTCCACCTAGAGAGAGGCAGGGTCTGTGTCTCCCCCCTGTTAAATAAGGACAGGCTCAATGACTGCTTGGACTAGTAGAATATGGCGGTGGTGATACTATGCCAGTTACCAGGCCCAGATCTAGCATTTTCCACTTCCCGCCTCTCAGAACACTCACTCTGGGGGAAGCCAGCCACCAGTGAAGACACGTCCCTAAGCTTAGCCCAGCATACATCTAGGAAACCCAAGCTAGGAGAGTCCACATGGAATGAGAGATACCCAGCCAGCCCCAAGCTGTTCCGGCCGTCCCAGCCATCCCAGCCCAGGCACCAAATGTGAAGCGCAAAGAAGTCATTCTGGATGTCCAACCTGTTGCACTTTCCAATGACTCCATCCCCAGCCAACATCTGACTGCAACCCTGTGGAAGACCAGACAGGAGAACCAGTCTAGCCCAGTCAGTCCATGGTGAGTGATAATGATAGACTGTTGTTCTAAACCACGAAGTTATTTTTTGTTGGCTTTGGTTTGAGATATGTATAGATGTGTATAAATACATTTATCTACCTATATATGTATTTGTTTCAAATTTTAGATTCAGGGGTACATGTGCAGGTTTGTCACAGGGGCATATTGCACGATGCTGAGTCAACTCCTACATTTTAAGGTGATTTGTTACATCAGAGGATCACTGGAACAGGTTCTAATGGAAATGCTAAATAAGTTCCCAGAATCATCAGTAACATACACAACTATCTTGGACCCATAATAATTAGAAAGAAAAATTAAGCAAAAAAGAAAAAGTCCTAAAAATGCTTCCAACAATTGCAACATTTTCAGATAGGACTCTAGCATCCCAGAGGGAGTCTACAGAAAGCAACATTCGCTTACATGTATAAATTGTGGCTTTTAAACAGTGCTTGCTTTATTTTGTATTCACATGAGAGCAAGGCTATAGATTTTATATACAGTAATACATCAAACCTACATAGACAGAAAATACTTTAACCAAGCCAGAACCACGGATGCCAAGAAGCGAACGTAGAAGAATTAATACCCACAGTTAACTTACTATATATACAGGTTTGTGGTTAGCATTTGTTCTGGATTATTTTATTTGGTCTTTCCAGCATCGAATTAGATAGCAAATACTGTCATATCCATTTTCTAGATGAGGGAACTGAGTCCCAGAGCAATTAAGTAACTTGCCCAGGACCACAGAGCTAGCAAGCAGCAGATATTACATGCAAATCCATCTGCTTCATCCTATGGCTCACACCTCTCACACTAAGTTCTAATTCCATCTGATCATACCAACCAAGGCTATATTTTCTAAATTTACACTCCTCAAACTATCTGTGAAGGATAATTTTTTATCCAAACTGTCACTGTGTGATATTTTAATATTTTCATTTCTGAATGTCTTGGCATTGTCCAATTGCTATAAAAGTTTCTATATGCCGGCTCTCAAGTTCTGTAAACATCTTACCAGGAACTGGTAATGAACAGTTGTGGATGTGCATAGTCTGGACCCACACTTTGAGGGGCACCTTCCGCATGATCTGTCTAACCTGTCCACCCAGGGACAGTGCTTTGAGCTGTAATGCTCAACATAAAGGTCTAGAAGCCGTTTCTAATATTTCAAGACTTCCGTAAGAAATTGCAAAATTATCCTTAATAACAGTTATTCTGTTGCATCCCACCGGGTGCACTGCAGTATAATTCTGACACTTGCTACTGGGAGTCAGTGCAGACCCCATGTGTTAAGGGCTCAGGCCTCCAAGAGACTGCCCTCATTTCACATACCAGCTGTGTGGATTTGCATGTAGTATCTGCTGCTTGCTAGCTCTGTGGTTCTGGGCAAGTTACTCACAAGTTACTCAAAGCCACTCACACTTTTACCTGTTCAACTACCTATCCCCAGACTCTAGGACATACTTCAGGTTGGATAATCTGCTAACATGACTAACAGAAGTCAGAAAAGTACTATATTTATGGCTATGGTTTTATTGTAAAGGATGCACACAGGGTGAGATCTGGGGTGAATGCAGTTCCACGTTCTTTCCCTGTGGAATCTGGGTGTATCACTCTCCCAGCACATCAGTGTGTTCATGAATCAGAAGCTCCAGTGAACTCCAGAATCTAGAGTTGTTATTAGGGTTCCATTAGATAGGCATGATTGATTAAATCACTGGCCATGTGAGTGAACTTAATCTCCAGTGCCGCTCTTCTCCCTGGAGGTCTGGCAGCCCAAGGTTCAAAAAGCTCAAATCCTGCAATAACCCTGCAATTTCTTTTTTCTCCTTTTCCCTTCCTCCCTTCCTCCCTCTCCTTCCTTCCTTCCTTCCTCCCTCTCCTTCCTTCCTCTCTCTCTCTCTCTCTCTTTCTCTCTTTCTCTCTTTTTTTCTTTCTTTGACAGAGTCTTGCTCTGTCACCCAGGCTGGAGTGTGCAGTGGTACGATCTTGTTTTACTGCAACCTCCACCAACCGGGTTCAAGTGATTCTCCTGCCTCAGCCTCCTGAAACCCTGCAATTTCATCTGGTTGACCTTACTGGTGATCAGAGCCCAAGGTGAAGCTATCTGGGAAAGCAAAGTAAGTTCCCTCATTAGCAAAATGAAAGCAGTCCTATCACTAAGGAAATTCCGTAAGTTTTAGAAGTTCCACGCTGGGAATACCAAGGCTGCAGCAGCTGACTTAAAAGCTAGTCTTTTTGTTTCTAACTGGTAGTCATCATTTCCTGGTTTCCCTGCACTGAGCAACAGCTCTGGTGGGCAACTGAAAAACGAGATAGGTTTCTGATTTCAGCAAATCAGAAAATATTTTTGCTCCAGCAAATATTTTTAAAAAACAGAGGCAAAGATGAGATGTGTGCAGAGTGATGGGAAGTGCAACAACAACAAAAAAGCGTTGAGCTGCTGGAAGGAGCTCAAAACCTCTGGCCTAGAGGGCTTGGGGCTGAGAGCCAGTGCCCCCCACACCACAGAAGCTAATACGACCTTAGTTTGATGAGTCAAGAAGCTGCAGGAACTCTAGCTGAGAAAGTGAACTTGGGAAATTTCATTGCAGGATTCAAATGATCAGATGTAAAATTAAATAATTCAAATTTAAAATAATTCAAACTTAAAGCTACTGGAACTTGAAATTATCTTGAGCCTTGAGAGGAATGTGGCTATGCCGCCTGCGTCAGACAGCCGCAACTTCTGCCTTTTGGTTTCTGTAAATAATTAGAAAGGCCAAGCAGCGCCAGAGATAAGACCCCCTCAGATCATTACCCCTCCTCATGGAATAGTAAAGTATT